CAGATTCTTGCGTTTATGAATTTGTTTTGGTGTCCTCTATGTTCCTCTTGGCTTCCACAACTGCTATAACAAACTAAGATGTTATCCCTCCTCCCTTCTTATTTTTATTGTTGACAGCAGAATTCTGTTTATTTACCCACTGTAGAGGATCTTTTAGTAATAATTCTTGAGATCAGTTTATGTGACTTGCTGTACTAGATAAATTGGTCCTAGTTTTGTTATCAGTTGTGCTAATGGTGTGGAAGAAATAGAAATCCTGGGATGTTGTTCCTTGCCAACAAGCCCACAGTTAAGATAAGGCAGCAACCAGCGTTTTTATCTTAAAACCAGAAAAGAAGACAAAATTGATCTTTGCTTGCTACAGATGCAACACTTTAGTTCATGGGTAATGCAAATGCACTGAGAGAAAATTTCAGAACACAGGCAAATCCTTCACTGTGATTTGTTCCAGCAGGCCTGGGGCTGTTGAACCAACCAGCCCCATTCGAGGTTACGGCTGTTGTATAATTTTAAATTGTTGTTTATTTTACTTTTTTTTTTGTATCCCTTCCCCTTTTTTATTGTGAGCCGCCCTGAGTCCCTCGGGAATAGGGCAGCATACAAACCCAATAAAATTCTAAATCCTAAAATTTGATATGCCTATGATTAAGAAAAAGCATCCATTAATATGTGATTATTAATGAGACTTAGGGTTAGGTTCATATATCATGCTATGGCATAACAGCTTCTGCCTGGCTTAGCATGTTGTGTGACCCCAGCTGTTACACTGTAAAGCTATGCTAGTTGTAGCTTATTTAACAGACCGTGATTCAGCAGACATAGATTGTGATATGTATGCCCAGCCAATTGTTGCTTATTCAACAAACCATGGTTAAGCAAACAATGTCAAAGCAGTGTGTAAGCCTTCTTATAAGATGCCAGAGAACAGATAATGTCTCTTGCTTAATGTGGTGCCTTTGGAATGTTTTGCAGTATGATTTCAATTATCATCAGCCTCCAATTTCCATGCTAAGCAAGGTAATAAAAAGTGTACACCAGCCATCATCCAGGAGACACTAGCTTGACTTCATCTTGTAAAGTAAAGTCTTTTACTTTGATGGGAATGTAAAGCAGAGGTATCCAACAGAATTGTGCCAGCAAAGAATGTAAGAACGGCCAGTAAAGAGATGCTTGGGTTTGAATGCAATAGTGTATCTAGTATGTTTGTGCCAGCAACTCAAGATACACTGAAGAAGCTTGGCTCAGTCTATAAATGCATGAATTCAGAAGCTGCACTGTTTTAATAATTGAATTTAGTAGACATTGAACTTCAAAATTTGTGCTATGGTCAGGAGGCCCTCAAATCTATAGCTATGGGCTTTTGCCATGGGCTGGCCTTTTTAGAGGCAAACACTTAAGGTGGTCTTATAATATAGTTCCATACTTCATTACTTCCCAGAATTCAAACAGTGAATTTATAACTGAAGTTGACTCGCAGTCACAAATATCTACTCCAAAAGAGATAAAATGTGTGGGAAGGAAAGGGCGGCGGGGTGTGTATATGTGTGTGTAAAAGGAGTCAGTAGCTAAATAGTGTTGCTGTGATATATAAAGAGAGACGGTTGTCTTGGGGACCAAGTAGTAGTCCTTAATTTACAACACGAAAATAAAACTACTTGTTACTTTGTGCTCTGCTGCATCTATACAATTACTGTGATTTTTTTTATTTATTTATGCTGTCTTAATTTGGAATTGTTAATACTGAACTTGGCAAATGGCATAAATGACCTCCCCCCCCCCTCCCCTTCCATAGCTCAAAATTGTTTTTGGCAAGCTACAATCTTAAATTTGGGGGAAAATAGCTAAAAATTAGTGTGTGTAAACCATAAGCGAATGTTTCTCTGTTTCAGTGGGTCCAAAAGTAAGTCCAGCCTGAAATAAAATTGTGTTGACTTTAGGGTTCCATATTTTTAAATCTGTCTGCATATTTAACTGTAGCTTTGGTATGTTTCCTGCTCAAATCCAACTGAAATGAATGGAAAACATCTGCTAGCCTCATCAGCTTGATTTTATATTCGGTGTCTACATTAAGAAATGTTATCATGTATAAAACTTTTAATTTTTAAAAAAATGTATATGTTTTATTGAATGTTGGGGCGGATGTCACATTATCAGGCCTTAACTTTGGAATATGAGGGCCAAAGTACATAGCAAAAAGGTACAGTTGCCTATTCTTAAATACATAATTTTGTAACTTTTCTTTAAAAGCCATTTCAATGCTCCCTTTTTACTTGTTTTGTTAACTTGGGCAGAGGAATATCTTGGATGTATTCAAGCAAAAGAATATGAATCAATGTTTTTAAATAATTTTTAGACTTAGAGTAAAATATTGATGTTGAAATTACTCCCCCTCCCCCTTTTAACTCGGACCTGGTGTGGTCTTATAGTGGAGGATTATTTGCTGGCACTTCTTAGTGATACAGAAAAATCAGGACCGTTGATCATGAAATACAAGCTGTTTTGCAGAACTGACTGATGGGAACTATGAAGAGAGAAAAAAATCTGTTTTAAAAATGAAAAATAACAAGTGTATAGCTTGACTAAGCAGCCTATTCAAATATTGTTCCTTTGGGCTCATTCCAGTAGAAAAGCCCTTCAGATGATCGGTTTTTATTGCAAACACTTCATAATTGATTGCTGAAAAGGGGGGTGGGGGTGGGGGGGACGTAGGAAGTGGAAACCTTGTGCAATGTAAATTGTTAACATTGGTAAAAAGTAAAAAAAAAAAAAACATCCATCTTCGTAGTGCAATCTTTCCAAAGGCTGACTTTTACATGTTTTGTCATTTTTAACTTTTCAATCAGTATAAAGTTTGAGATAATATTTGCCAATTGATTTTTACCATTGTATTGCTTATGAAATGGATGATCACCATTTCTCAAAAACGATATGTGCCTACTTTTATTGCATATTCTCTCTTTCTCTTTTTTTGTGTTGGGGGGGGGGATCAATATTGAATGAAATTGCTTGTGATAGCTGTATATGACCTGTTACTTTTAACAAACATTAAACTGTATGCAAGTAAAATTTGAAATGTCATGGTACAGTTTCTTAGCTTTCTTAATTCATCTGTCCTCCTTAATGGCTGGGGACTTTCTCAACATTGATGGAGGTTTACTACAGTGGGAGAAATATATTTTGACATTGGGTTAATAGCAAC